ATTGTTAAATGAAGAGGTACATAAATTATTGCCAACTCCTCTGTAGTTAAACATTCACAAACAGCAGAATGAGCTTTCTCATTTCTGAGAACATGCACACATATGAGCATGTGCAAGTTGTCTTCCACTAATACCAGTTGATTATGCATTTTTTTCTTATGGAAATTCTGATTTACGAAATATAGTAACATGGGCAGGATTTTCAGGTCTTTGCAACTTTTCTATTTGTTTATTTCCCTCTAAAAATTATATTTGTGGAGTACTTAGGATATGTTAGGCACTGTGCAAACTTAATTTAACTCTCTAAAAAACTTTATAAGGTTATAGTTTATTATTGCTATTTTTTACATAATGAAACTGAGGTATGGAGGGACTCAGTCACAGAGGTAACAAACAGCAAAAACAGGACTCAAACCACAAGTTTCTGCTCATAACCACTGCCGTATAATGCCTAGAGAAGAAAAAATTGAAAATTTTATTTAATTCATATAGTTACCTACCTTTGGAAGAAAACTTCCTCTAGTGGTTTCACTTAGAAGGAATAGCAGTTGACCAAGAACTTCATTTTTCATATCAGCTCCCAGGGCTTTTGGTGAAGTGGTTAAAATGTCTGCTCTACCCTCATATCTGATGACCATTTCTTCTGAAGGATTTATGTGAGTGGAGCTTAAATCCTGCCTCTACCACTTAGAAGCTGTCATTTCTTGGCCAAATAACTACTCTCTCCAAGCCTCTGCTTGCTCATCTGTAAAAGGGGAATGATGGTAACTGCACCCTCATGGTGCATGAGAGAAGACCTGCGCAGAGCTGAGCATAAGACCTGAAGTGAACTGAATGCTCAATCAAATACTCAGTATAAAAGCAGGAAAGAAAACATTGCCAACCTCATGGAAAGTCTTCTAAAACAAGGTTAACTTAAAAAATATCGCTGAAGTTCATGTGGACAGAAATATACATGTAAGGTAGCCTCAGTTATACATGTGACTTGCCTGTGAAGAACACATGGCTAATTTTGGCCTCTGGAGAAACCCCAGATCAGATCACTGGATAATTCATGCATATCTTGAGGTTTCCCACAAATGCCATGAAAGACAGCATAGCTACTTCACAGCATACTTGATCCCAGTCCAAATGGCTCGTGTCCTGTAAATTCTCCCTTCTCTCTAAATTCCCTTTCCACTTCTGCTTCTCCCTAGAGTTACTGGAGCACACATGGTATTGTGGCTTAAATGTCAGCCAAAGCTAGGCTAATCTCTGGGGCCGCTTCCCTAGAAATCTAGCTGGATCCCTCATTCCTTCCAAGCCTCCTCCATAATAAAGTGAGCCAGCCCTTCCTCCTCTGCCATTCTGAGGAAATTCTTCCATAGACTTGAAGACGGGAATTTGGCTCCATGACATTTCCAGAAAATACACAGTATTGCTATGAGCTATGGATATATTGTATCCACACTCCTGCCAGGTTTTCTTGAGAGAAAATAGTTTTGAAGGCCCACTCTCCCTAAGTAAGATGAATTTAGACTCAAAGTAGAATAATCATACTTTATGTTTGGCTATTTTAGAGTTTTTGAAGCATAAGCATCTACATTTAGCTTCTTGACTCTCATGCTAATCCTGCAAGTAAAAGAGCCTATTTTTACAGATTTTTGTGAGTGAAAATATACCTCCTTAGAAAATAATTCTGCTGGGTACTTTGGAAAAGGATTGAGATTTTGCTCAACTATAAAGAGAAAATTGGGGAAAAGCAGTAATCTTTTTGATATGGGCATGCATGAACAAATATTTCACTAACATAGGTCAACCATCCTCTTCTATCAGAACATTTATGAAATACTTTTCCTCATGCTTTAACAAATTATGTTGATTGGTGAGTGCACATGCATGTGAGGAAATGCCCTGAACCTAAGGGAAGAACCATCAGAAAAGATTACAGAATAGTGCCAGTTGCTCATAGTGGTCCAGGAACAATGCCTTTTCCTGCCAGCAAGCCTGGAAAAACTCATAACTTATAGAATATTGGGGAGAAAACCTAGGAAGGTCTTGTCTCAGTAGTGGGGAATAATTAGCCTCAAATTAAGCACTGCTCTGAACTCACCAAACAAAGTATAATAGCACAACCCAAAAGGATCAAATAGTTTGCTTGTAACATGAATATTTTTAGGAATAGAAAAATATTCCACATCCAAAAAGGAAAATTTCAAAATATCTGGCACAAAAAGAAACTTGAAAACATGACCATAATCAAGAGCATAATAACTCTAAAACAAACCAGAACTGACACAGATGTTAGAATTAACAAAGATATTAAAATAGCTAATATAACTATATTTCATATGTGAACTATATCTTCATATGGAAGATACAAAAAAAGATTCAAATAGAATTTGTAGAGATAAAAGTTGTAATGTTTAGGATGAACAATATACTTGATGGGGTTAATAACAAATTAGATTTGATAAAAGAAAACATCAGTGAACTTGAAGATGTAGCAATGGAATTACCCAAAATAAAACTCTGAGAGAAAAAAAATTTTTTAAAAATGAGAAGAGCATCAGAGTTTCAATATCCTTTCTCAATATTTGGTAGGAAATCAGCAGAAAGACAGGAGTCTTGAGTGATACTAGCAACTAATCTCACCTAACGGATATTTATAGAACACTCCACACAACAATAGAATATATATTCTTTTCAACACACATGCAATACTTACCAAGATAGACTATGTTGTGGGCCATAAAGCAATTCTCAAAATTTTAAGGGATTGAAGTCATACCAACTGTATTCTCTAAAACAGAATTAAAATTTTAAAATAAGTAGCAGAAAGATCTTCAAAAAAATCCCTAAGTATTTGGAAACTAAATAAAGTGCTTCTAAATAATTCACAAAGAAATCCAAAGGAAAATTAGAACATATTTTGAAATGAATGAAAATAAAATCATAATATACCAGAATTTGTGAGATTCCACTAATGCAGTACTTAGAAGGCATTAAATACCTGTGTTGGTAAAAAAAAAAAATTCAAATCAATGACTTCAACTTTCATCTTAAGAAATCAGAAGAAGAACCCATGGTAAGCAGTGAAAGAAAGGAAGTAATAAAATTAAAGTAGAACTCAATGAAATGGAAAAGAGAAAATTAGTAAAACCAAAAGCTGTTTCTTTGAGAATATCAAAAAATTAATAAACCTATAGTCTAGCTCACCAGGAAAAAAAGAAGAAAACAATACCAATATCAGGAATGAAAAAGGAAATATATTCCACTGATAATAAAAAGATAATCATAGAATATGATAAATAATTTTGCCTGTAAATTAGCTCAGGTAAAATAGATAAATTTCTTGCAAATCACAAATTACCAGACTTCATTCAAGAAGTAATTTAAATAGCCCTAAACCTATTAAAGAAATTGATTTTGTAGTTTAAATTTTCCCATACAGAAAACTCCAAGCCAAAATGACTTCACTGGTCAATTCAACAAAACATCTAAGGAAGAAATAATGCCAATTCTAAACAAACATGCAGAAAACTAAAGAGGAAGGAATTCTTTTTAGCTCATTCTTTAAGGTCAGATTACCATGATAGCAAAATTGGACAAAGACTATATGAAAATGAAACTACACACCAAAATTCCTCATAAACATAGCTGCAAAAATTCTAAACAAAATTTTAAGTAAATTAAATCCAATAATATTAGCTTGATTGTCATAATTATTACACAAGGTGTAGTGATATCAAAACACTACATTGTACACCTTACAATTTTTATATAATTTTTATTCATCAGAATATCTAATGATAGATAAAAAAAGATACTGTGAAGTTTACACTAGAAATTCAGTTACTTAAGCTACAAACATCTAATAGCTCATTTGCCCTGTTAATAACATTCTCCATGGTATTGTTTTTGGCATTCTATTTCTATTATTAAGCTTTTATGGCATTAATGCAGGTTAATTGAATCATTTGTGAGGATTGTTGTGAGGAGTAAATAACAAAGTAATATAAAGCATTAATAATGGGGTTGAGCACAAATGGGTATCAATAAATTTTTGCCAGTTAGAAACCAACTTCTTGCTTGATTAGGTTTATAGACACACTTCTTTCATAGAAAAAAGAACATTGGCCACCTACTTCCTATCTTTCTGAGCTGGCATTTCCTCTTGTGCCTTCACTGACCAGTCAGCACCCACATCATTGTGGATATGGTTTTATGATCCCTGAGCCTTAGAGCAAATACTTGAAGTGCTGATCTATAGCAAGATATTACATTAGCATCAGAATGTAAATCAAGGCACTATTCCCTTCACTGAAAAAGTTTTGCTACAAAAAAAAATAGTCAACTGAATTAAATTGTGTGCTTAGTAACGTAAATGACTTACAACATGATGCAAGCTCCTTATTTTGTCTTGGGCTGATAAACTGTTTGCAAACTGGCACTTTAAATACTAACATCTTAGAGTATTTAAGGTCTCACACAGAGTTTGGTTTCTAAAATCAACATTTATACTTGCTCTCATAACATCACACTTTAGTACATATTTTGAACATGTGTATAAAGCTATATATGTTTGTGACACCAATAAATATGACTGACATATATTTTTCTCTTAGGGTCACTACAAAATAAATAGTTAGATCTCATGTAAATGTGTACTTCAAATTTTGTGATCATGTGGAGTACACTAAAAATAGTTATATATTTCTCATCTTACATATGAAAATAGTAGAGGATCTATCAACCCTTGGACAAGGATCTGAGATAGGCTAGCAAATACATTTCTTTTCACATGACAACACCTGTTGAATGCTAATGGTTTCCTATGCAGTGTGTGGAGACATATTTGGAGAATGCATCTGGGAACAAGTACTATAATTGATTTATGACGTCTGCCGTGGGTTTGGGAATAAACCATGGCAAATCACATGATGTATTGGTCATCCTTGGCTAGGAGTTCCAAGTTTAGTCTTCTACTAAAAAGAGTGACTTGAGCTATTCTATTGCAGGACATGAAAACCATGGCAGAAAAGAAGAACCAGGTGTTATTAATATACCTGGAGATACCTCTCTTCAAGAATATTACATGGATGTGGCTTTCCTCATAGATGCTTCCCAAAGAATAGGAAATGATGAGTTTAGGGAAGTGAAAGCTTTTCTTATCTCAGTGCTTGATTACTTTCACATTGCCCCAGACCCACTGACCTCTATGTTAGGAGACAGAGTGGCAGTCCTGAGCTATTCTCCTCCAGGCTATATGCCGAACAGTGAAGAATGCCCTGTCTACCTGGAATTTGATTTGATTACTTACAACAGCATATACCAAATGAAACATCATCTCCAAGACTCTTTTCAACAGCTCAATGGAGATGTTTTTATTGGCCATGCCCTGCAGTGGACAATTGACAATGTCTTTGTAGGAACTCCCAACCTGAGGAAAAACAAAGTTATCTTTGTTATATCTGCTGGTGAAACCAATCCCTTAGACAAGGAAGTCTTAAGAAATGTAGCTCTGAGAGCCAAGTGTCAGGGCTATACTATATTTGTGTTTTCCTTTGGTCCTATACACAATGACAAGGAATTAGAAGAATTAGCCAGCCACCCACTGGATCATCACTTAGTCCAGCTTGGCCGAACCCACAAGCCAGATTTGAACTATATCACCAAGTTTGTCAAGCCATTTGTTCATTTAATCAGACGTAAGTCATTAAACCTTTTCTCTTCTATTGCTTTTGCAATAGATTTAATGTCTCTGTGTACAATCCACCAGCTGATTTAGTAATAACTCCTTACTTCAGTGGAGAGTGGTAAAGTCTCAGGTGTCAAAAGAAGGCAGCGAGAAAACCAGAGAAAAATATCAGGTCTTATTGACCTTGAACTTTAATACTGCACTATCAAGGTATTTGCCAGAAAACCCCCATATAGGTAAAAAGTATTTTTTAACCCTAATCTGTTTACTATGTACTTGATACCATGTAATGAATTCTTTAAGTAGATTATATCATTGAATCATCAGTATAGCCCTCAAAGAAAAGTACTAATATCTCCATTTTACAAGTGAGAAAACTAAGGCTCAGAGACATTAAATAAATTGTTCAAGGGGATCCCTGGGTGGCTCAGCAGTTTAGCGTCTGCCTTTGGCCCAGGGCGCGATCCTGGAGTCCTGGGATCGAGTCCTGCGTCAGGCTCCCAGCATGGAGCCTGCTTCTCCCTCCTCCTGTGTATCTGCCTCTCTCTCTCCCTCTCTCCCTCTCTCCCTCTCTCTCTCTCTCTCTCTATCATAAATAAATAAATAAATAATCTTTAAAAAATAAATTGTTCAAAAGCTTATAGTTTAATAGTTGGCAAATTCTAGACTCAGCTGTATGCATTCTGACCCCAGAGCTGTGCTCCTGTTCTTTAAACTATATTTCAGTTCCTATACTCTTAAGGAAGGATACTGCTGTAATCAGTAATATCCTACTACCAATACCCTCTATCTACTCCGAGGACTTCTGTTTTCTCTTTTATTGTAAATTACCTTTGGTTATGACTTTAATTCTTTTGAGCCATGGACTTGAATCTCTTCTAGAGCCTCTGTCCCAGATAACTAGCTCAGGCATAGCCAAGTAGGGTTCTAAGGGTGTCTTTTTATGGTGGGGCTTTGATAATGACTGCCATAGCCTCTGTCCATGTGTTGCAATTTTAGACATGGGTATAGTAGTATACCCAAGAGCTTTCAGCATCAAGCAAATCCTGGCCTGTGCTGGGATTAAAAATGAGGCAGAGGCCACATTGAATAGTTATCTGCAGCTCCTGCAAGTTTATCAGAGAATAGCAGAGATGCAGATTTGCTGCCTCTCAAAAGCCCCAGGTTTGTAACCCTCAGGAATCTTGGAATTCAGGATTCATATACAGTAGCAGGCTTGTCACTTGCCTTCTTCCAACCCTAAGATAAATAGGTCAGACAATTTCAGTAGCTCAGTGTGTCTTCTGGAAAGATTTTCCTTTTAGAGGGAGAGAAACAGATGTTAGAAGGGATTAGGAGATGTCCTTGAATTGTATCACAAGCCCGTGACATACAGAGCTTGACAATTTTAGGCTCAATCACTGCTATATCTCACTGACTTTGCCAGTGAGGTATTGCAATGTCAGAGGGTGCCTACTTTGTTGAATGCCTTATAAAATTAATTTGTTCTTAAAAACACTTCCAACCACAGGAAAAGATGGACTGACTTTGGGCGATAGAATATAAAATGGTAAATTTTAGATTAATCAGCCCACTCTTTCTCCAGGTGCCGTCAACAAATATCCCCCTGCAGATCTGAGACCCAAGTGTGTTAACATCACTTCTCCCAACCCAGAGAACGTTGGCTCAGGAAACACTGTAGTGTGAGTTGACAAATTCACAGTTTGGGTAATACTACAGCTGGAAGCAGTCCTTCCAAAAATAATTTGAAATGAATGGCGCTTTAGTTTTCAGGATGCAAGTTTGGTTGGGATATAGGGTATGTGTTTGTGTGTCTGTTAAATACTCTTGGTTTGTGAAGACTGCACAGATCTGGAGTTAATAGCAGATAGAATAGCACCCATATTAGAAAGAGCCATGTTTCCATTTCTGTTGCTTTTATGAAAAAAAGAGAGACTCCTATTAATACCTAATATAACACCACTAATATTGGGTACTGCCATAACAGAAAACTCATAACATCAAATGTTAGATATAACAATTTTACAGCAGAATAAAAACAAAAAGAAAAAATGCAAAAGCAGCAAAAATATTTGCCATTTGTAAAACAGAACTCATATGAAGACTGATAGGAAGGATTCTTTTACGTTTGATTTTGCAAAATACAGCCATAAGTACACAATAAAAATTCAGTGCTGAACATAATATTGCTTTGGAGTCCTAAACCACTGATACAATGCTATGATTTCTCTCTGGAATGTTAAAAAGTTGCCCGAGTCAGATTTCATCTACAGACTACATTTGGACTCTTCCAATCACATGCATAAAGTTGATTGCTATTCTATATCTGCTATTCTATATCCTGTGTTTGCATTTAATTCTGCAAGGGGCTTGGCTAACAAATTTTTCATCTCTTTTCTCTGTCACCTCAGCCTTATTCCTGAGGTGTATAAAATAGAGACAGGAAACAGTGAGCTGTTTGGTGAATTTGGTTCCCAGGAGCATCATTCCTTTGTATTAGGGAACAATCCTAGTAATGGTTCTGAGACCGCTATTGATTTGATCCAGAAGTTATACATGCTCTTTTCAACTGGAGAACTGGTGATGAACGATAAGGAAGAGGCACATTCAGAAGAAATGCCAGCTCTAGCAGATGGTAAACAACAAGATAAAAAAGGTAACCTTGGGTACAATAGAACTGAAGCCCCTGAAGTACCTTTGTTTGGATTTATCCCCTGGTGGAAGATAAGCAAGGATGAGCAAGGAGAACTCACTGGGACAGGTAGAAATGACAAGATAGAGAAGCTTAGGGCTGCAGGAGGTTCCCAAAATGAGGAGGCCAACAATATATGACTCCAGAAAGGCAAAAAAGGGAGTCAATGGTGTTAACAAAACCAGAACTGGAAATAGTTGTAAATACTCAGTGTGGGGTCAGGGAATGGAAACAGGAGAGGGATGAGAACAAGAACCACACAGGTCCTGAGTAAGCAAGCAGAGTCCCCAGATATCTTGTGCAAAATGTGAGTGAGGAGCTATGCAACAAGCCTCCAGGGTTTGAAGGTCTACCTTCTCCCTTAGCAACCCTGGCTTGCCTGCTCTGAGATGTGAGCTTCTAGCTTGTGCCTGTGGTTTCGAGATTTCTTTGGAGGCTGAGGGCAGCTTCTTAGGCTATGTGAGGAGGTGGTTCAGGACCTACAGCTAAAGGGAAAAATGGAAGATGGAGAACGAAACTATAGTAGGCACCAGAGCAACTATTCATAATTTTTGCTGTGTACCAAAACTATATGGGAAATTATTTTAAAATTAATATTCTTGGGGTCTACTAAAGCTGGAAGTAAGCATACACTTTAACTAGAAAATTTACTCTAATGTATATGCCCAACAGAAAAATATATATTCACCAAAAGTCATGTACTAGAATGTTCATAATGGCACTATTTTTAGTAGCCCTGAAGTAGAAACAAAAATACCCAATAGCAGGTATGTTAAATAAATTTAGGTATGATTATATAATGAAATACTATATATGCATGCAGCATATATGTACAATACTATATAAATATGTAGTATGTATCAGTACTTCATATGTACACCTATACAATATTAGATATGAGTATAAGTATAGATATAGAAAATATATAGACAATGAACAAAATCAGAAAAATGATGGAAAATAGGAGAGATGAGGATAGAGAAAATATAGAAAAATATAGAGAGGGAAGAGAAGTGTAAGAAAAGGAAAATCAAATATAAATACAATGAAGTATCTGGTTCCAATCAAGATGGACTAAGCCTACTTTAGCCTCAAGATGGACTAAGCCCATACTGTCTCTCTTGCACTGATCACAACTGAAAACTGTGGAGAAGATACAAAAAGGCAATTCCCCAAACAGCTCTGAAAAGTAACAAAAAGTAGATATATTGTGAAGTTTCCCATTTCCTTTTCTGTTTTCTTTTGTAGCTTTGTCCCCAGGGCAGACCTCAGTCCTGGAGTTGTTTGATGGCAGTGGGGCAGGGAGATAAAAGTCAGTGGAAACCTCATATTTCTGGGCAGAAGAACTAGGAAAAGGAGCTCCTGTTTGTCAGAGGTGGTGGTAGAAATGCCCATTTTTCCCTCTCTTTCCTCTCCTGTTTTTTTTTTTAAGATTTCATTTATTTATTTGACAGAGAAAGTGCACAAGCAGGAGAAGAGGCAGAGGGAAAGGAAGAAGCAGGGTCCCTGCTGAGCAGGGAGCCCAATGTGGGGCTTAATCCTAGAACCCCAAGATAATGACCTGAGCCAAAGATAGACGCTTACCCAATTGAACCACCCAAGTGCCTCTCTTCTCACTGTTTTGCGCACTGTTTTGCTCTGAAGGTGGGCACAGTTTGCATCTGAGTGGAAGGCTAACTAGCTAAAATTAAAGAAAAACTCTGTTTTTCTGGCCAGAGGAACTAGAAAGAGAGGCCCTGCTTGCCAGCATGTAGGGGTAGCCCCAGAGGAAGAGAACTGGAGCAGAGGATCCTCTAATTCTAATTATGGGAGCTGCATCAGCCTTGGACTCTCAATCATGGACAAAAAAATTCCCAAACTAGCAGAAAATATAACTCTACAGATTTTAAAACCCCACTCAAGACACATCATTAACAGCTGAAAACAAAAGATAAAAATTTTGAAGCAGCTAGAGAAAAATCTGCATATTACAAAAGAAAAGAACAACTCTTCAAATGATGGTAAATTTCTCATCAAAAGCCATGGAAGTTAAAAATAAATATAAACAAACAAACAAACAAACCTTGGAAGCTGAAAGACAGTGAAACATTTTTTTCTTTCACATCCCAGAATCAAAGAACTTAGAACACAAAATTTTATATCCAATGTGCATAGCCCTCTGGAATGAAAACAAAAGAAAGATATTTCCAGATAAAGAAAAACTAAGAGGATTTGTTGCTAACAGGCATGGGCTAAAGGAAAGCAGTGGTGGGAGAACCAGGGAGTTGGGTGAGGTCAAATGACTGAGGACCAGATGGCTGAGGGAACCCCAAAGGGAAATCAAGAAGGGGATTCAAAACGGAGGGTGGTTGAGTAAAACAAAGTGGCAGGTACCAGCTGCAGCTCACCCATGTACAGAGCCATACTGTCTGTAAGGTAATTTCATGTACATGATCCCATTGAGTTCCCTCCAAAACCCTGTGTAGGAGACAGGGATTAATACCCTTTTATTTGGATGGAGAAACGGAAGCTCAAATAGGTTTAGTGCCTTCCTGAAACTTGGCCCTGGTCTGGCAACTCCTAATTCAGTGTGCTTTCCCAATATTGGAGGAAGGAAATAGATCCGAGATAGAAAAGGGTGGGTGTTAGGAGGGGATATCCTAGTCACCTCAAGCTGCCATAACAAATGCCATGAATTGAGGGGCTTAAAGACAGTAATTTATTTTCTCATGGTTCTGGAGGCTGAGAAGTCCAAGATCAAGGGACCAAAAAATTGGTTTCTAATGAGACCTCTCTTTCTGGCTTGCAGACAGCCACCTTCTTGCTCTGTTTCACATAGTGGAAACAGTCCTGGTGTCCCTTCCTCTTCTAAGGGCACCACTTTTTATCAGATTATATCTCCATCCTTAAGGCATATGAAATTGGGGAGACACAATGCAATCCATTTCAGGCGATATAATTAACAACATACATGGGAAAGAACCCTATAAATCAGTATTGATCAAGCTTGTCTATGCATTATAATGACCTGGGTATTTGTTGATGATTCCATAGTCCAACCCACACTCCACATCCCTTAAGTCATATTCTCTGTCAGTGAGACATAGGCATTCATTTTTTTTGAAACCCCAGAGCAATTCCAATGTGCATACAAGTTTGAAAAACACTGCTATAAATTTCAATTGAATTAGTCCTGTTAGGTATTTCAAGGTGAGGTTGCTGCTGAAAATGATAAGGTTGGTAACTCAAAAAAGATTACCAAGTGAGCATTACTGAGAACTTTCTTGATTGTTATTATTCTTCATAATTTCTTTCCTCCAGAAGTTTTCACCATTTTTCTACTTAATTGTATATCCTACATCTAGAAGTTGATCATGTCCTTACTCATTGCCTTCTGAGAGTTCTAGACAGCAACTTAATTTGGTGACATTTGGCCAGCTCTGTTCCATGAAGTCAGTCTGAGTCTCTTCAAGAAATGTCAGTTTGGCTTCTTTCTTGGAATCATGGGGGATTAGAATTTGAAACTAGAATGACTTTAGAAACCACTGAGGTGTCCTCTATCTTTTTACAGATAAGAAGCTGTAGACATCTAAGTGTCTTACTAAAGAATATTCACAGTATCTAGTTCAGTACCATTTTGTCACAAAGATTTATATTATATTATGTTTCTAGAACACAAATTCAATTTAAAGTTAATCTATGAAAAAAGACAAATCTTTATCTGAAAAAAATCTTTATCTGGTTTGTTGAAAGGCTAGAGATAATACATATGAAGGTCAAATGCACACCTTGTTTGGCACATAATCAGCTAGTATTATGTTACATGAATGATCTAAGTCTGGTAATATATTTGACAATTAAAAATAAAAATCCATTGTGAAGAATGATCAGCCCTTACATACTTATCTTTGCTGTGCTTATCTTGTTTTTTCAAAGAGAATGGGCTTTTCTTTTCACCTCATTTTTCTAATGTCTTGATTGTATCCATCTACTTAACATATAGATTATTTTGCTCATTATAATGTACATTTGCAAGGTTTTTAAGGTTTTACATCTGGAGTTTTAAAAAGCATAAGTGTATTCCTTTTCCCATTATGCCAATTTAGGGCTTATTTCTTAGTCTTTATTTTTCTAACATCAAGTTCAGTATTTCTCAAAGTGTGGTCCCTGGACCATCAACATCAGCATCATTTAGGAAGTCACTGGAAATGCAGATCCTTGAATCCTGCCAAAGACTTGCTGAATCAGAAACTCTGGGGTTGGGGTCCTCCAGATGATTCTGATGCAGGCTAGAGTTTGAGAACCACTGACCTAGTGTTAAAAATATTGAGCCTAAATTAGTCTCCTTTAGTAGAAGTCCTTGGGGCAGCCTGGGTGGCTCAGCGGCTTAGCATTGCCTTCAGCCCAGGGCCTGATCCTAGAGACCCGGGATCGAGTCCCATGTCAGGCTCCCTGCATGGAGCCTGCTTCTCCCTCTGCCTGTCTCTCTCTCTCTCTCTCTCTCTCTCTCTCTCTCTCTTTCATGAATAAATAAATAAAATCTTTTTAAAAAAAAAAAGTCCTTTCACTAAACATTAATAGGTAATCGGGAGAAAAAATTTTTCCTGTAAAACACTGATAAATAGGCATGATTTTTGCAGGACTTCTCAATGACTTTATTGGGCTAAAGTTTATTGTGATTCTGAGAGAGGGGCTATGGTCAAACCACTATGACCACAGAATCATTGTATCAGGGGGCATCTTTTTGGGCTAGTGTTCTATAGAAACCACTTTGGGAAATAGTAGTTGAAAGACTGAATCGAAGCATCACTGGATGGGGACGTGGATTTGGCTCCGATTTGTGCAGTTACTGGTCATGTGATCTTAGGCACATTACTTTGCTTTTCTGAGCTTCCATTTCTCTAGCTGTAAAATGGGCATAATAGTAGAGCCTACATTGTAGGGTAATGTGATCACTGAATATAAAGTGCTCCAAACAGCACACACTTTGCATTGAGTGAAAACTTAATACATGTTAGCTATTATTTAAAATTATGATGATGGTGATGGTGATGATGATGGTTATGATGACAAAATGGCATTAGAGTTGATGGCCGTGTGGAAAGAATGCCAGACTGGGAATGAGGAGATATAGATGCTAATTTTGGTTCTGTCACTAACTAGCTTTGTGATCTCAAATAGTCACCTGATTGCCTTGGTCTTCAATTTTCTTGTTTGTGTAATGAGGAGCTTGGGCAAGGCCAGTGTTTTTCATACTGAAGGACACACAAAGACTCCCTAGTGCATAGATTTCTAAAAACTACATCTAAATTTCTAAAAACTAAAATCTAAAAACATTCTAGAGAATGTCTCTATCTGAGGAATCATGGAGGGTCTCCTTTTCAGCATCCTCTTTTACAAAAGCCCCCTACTTCATGCAAAAAAAAAATGACATACTTCTCAGCCATCCTTTTTAAAAAGATTTTATTTTTAAGTAATCTTTACAACCAACATGGGGCTCAAACTCACAACCCCAAGATCAAGAGTTGCATGTTCTTCCAACTGAGCCAGCTAAGTTTCCCTTTCTCAGCCATTCTAAATCTGATTATGTGCTTTGCCCAAATGTAAACACTCCTAGAAAGGCACAGGATAGGGAGTTGGGAGCATGTTGTCAAACAAGGAGTCATTTTAAATACTGGATGTGTAGGTCTCCTTTAAGCCAGGTAAGGCTTCAGGTTTTTCCCATCCTGTACATGTTTCTGTTAAGAAAGAAATGTATTGTTAGAAATGTATTTAAACTCATGTTTGGATGATATGAATTCAGGTATACTATAGAGTGAGGATGGTAGGAGTTATGATAAGTTTCATTTAGTAATCTGGCCTGTTCCATTTCCTGACTCTTTACAAAAGATACATCTTTTTAAAGTGAAAAATCCTTGAGAACAAAGCAAAGAGCCTATAAGTGAAGTACCAATGGAGAGCAAGCATTTTTTCATTAGGTCAAAAAAAAATTATAGCAAAAGCCTTAACCATTTACCTATCTTAGAGTGGAATCATAAGTAAGACATCATCACAGAGACCCTCAGTAACATACTTACTCATTATGAAAAAATAATTAGATGTTAACTTTAAAATATGCAAGGCAAGAGTACATGATTGTTTTCCTTTGAGATGGTATGTAACAAATGTCTGAAGACAAGCACTTGGGATCACCTCTCTGTCCTGCCTTGGGCCACGTCCCTGAAGCTGACCCTGGGGTGAGGATTTGTGTGCATGTGATTTATTGAGATGGCACTTACAGGAGAAACAGAAAGGGAATGGAGGAAGCAAGACAAGGAAGTAGTAGAAGACAAACAAGGGTGTCCTCTCAGGCAAAATACCATAGATCTTTAGCTTCAGTTTGTCCCATGCAGATACTCCAGTATGTTATGTTTCAGATTCATCCAGGTCAGGAGACAAAGAAGTTGGGCTTTCTCATCTCTTAGTAGATCATCGACTGGCCAAGGGTTGTCCTGGGAAGGGCTGTGAATTCCCAGACACTCATGCTGCATGTGATTAAAGCCACTTCAGTGGCTGGACAGCAGTCCTCCTAAGAATAGTAGGTGCTGATGCTAGAAGCAAAAGTTCACAAGAGGGTGGTTAGGGATGAAAGGGGATGAAGAATAGGAGGGGAAGGAATGTTGTCCTAGAAATTAATGCTAAAAATGAAGATTAAAAGGATTCTAAGCAGAGTCCTAGCTCTGCACATTTCTTCTAGTTCAAATCAATGACACTGAATGTACTAAGTGTGGAATTTCAGATGATGAATGTACCAACATTTCCCCAGGAAGAAGCGTATCTGTAGTTCTACTTATATGTTGCTCATTTGTATCTATTATCACATCACCCTTTTATTTTGACTATTGAAAATGGCAAAACTATGTGTGTTCATTTCATATGTGGCAAAGAGGAGTCGAGTCTAGAGGGAACATTTTAAACAAATCCAGTGACATTAAGAACATTAATATTTTTATGTTTTGCAGATGGTGAGGACACAAGATGATCATAGCAAAAAAAGGAAGATCGCTCTGTTGGCAATGTGTGACTCCATGTGGTTCTAGCCAGAAACTATAAATCATCTGTTAGAAGTAGAGTGGTGAGGGGCAGAAATTTTTTCATGAAACCAATTGGCTAGTAATGTGCTAAATTTGTGCTGTTTCAAGTCTGAAAGGGAGACTTTTGAGTGAAGACACCAACAAGCAGAACTGAGAAACTAGGAATGATTTCATTTCTTCTGAGAATTGGGAAAAATGACCAGGAAAAGTTAACTGAATTTTTTTCTTGACAGCTCTGTACAGTTCAAGCAGCAATTCTGATGATATATCTGCTTAGAGAATATTTTTATCATAATTTTCATCACATCTACATCTCAAATTGGGCAGTTGAAACAAAAGCGGTCAGAGTTAGAATTTCCTAGGAAAGTCTCCTGTCTCTTCATAGAATGAGAAACTCATGTTCATCTCTTCAATTCTGCTACAACCCTCATGGTGGATCCAGCCCTGAGTGCCCTGTGAAATCCACCTGGCAAGCTGCTACCAGAATGCTTGCTGTTTACCAGAACACTTGGAAAATAATGGAATTCATGAGAAAGAAAAAAGTGAGAGGAGGCTAATTTTATGAATGGCTGTTTTCTGCTGTGATCATTTGTTTTACATTTTAGCATGCTTTGCTTTATATGTACTTGATTTTTGCTGGGGAAAAGAATTATGGAAAAACATAAATATTCTATTTGACCAGAGCTGTTCTTGGGAATTACAACGGAACAAGAGACAAGTTCTAAAATAAAAGCAAGTCTGACTGGAAGCTTATTCTGTTCATTTTTATTTACGTGTAGTCTAACCCAGGCCCACTGAAACACCAGTATAGGATTAACAATATTTGGAAAATATATACATATAGTGTAAAATAAGCCAATAGTGAATTCATTTTTTAAATATTTCAATTTGGTTAAGGCAACTAATAATTGCCAAGTGAGTATATTTTGCATATTTTTAAAGTGACTATGGTAATAGGATAATACTACTGGCTGTTTTATACTTTTCCCATATAATTTTCCTTACCATTATTCTTTTTGTTTGAATAATTTAAAAATAACCCAATAAATTAAAGCTAGGCTGTCAAAAAATTTTAAAGTACCCACATATTGCTCTCTGGGAAGTTCTAAAGCAGATTCTACTCTTTAATAAAGTTCTGTTTTTCCCTAAGAATCCTGATATGTGCACATGCGTATAAATGTAGGTATAAGGAATACATCAGATCCCTAAATATGAAGATAATATGGGTTATCAAGAATGTGAAGCCAGAGGAACTCACAGTCTGCTTATGGGAGTGTAGATTGTTCCACCTTTGAACAGCATGTTAGCAATACCTAGTTAGGTTGATGATGCACATATTCTACAAACTAGCTGTCCCATTACTAGATATATATGCCATAAAAGCTCTCACACATGTACACAACAAATCGAGTGAAAACATGTTCACCACAACATTGCGTGTTTCAGTGAAGAGTTGAAACCAACTGAAATGTCCTAAATGTGGTACATTGTACACTAGAGCTGCAACTATTAACAGTGGGCAAATAAGGAAGAAAATATTGAAACTAAAGAAGTTGCAGAAGGATACATTTTGAGATCATTTATACAACATTTTAAAACCTGAGAAGCAATATTACCCACTGTTTATGAATGCCCACAACTTTAGTAAAAGCATATATAACACCACCTATATAACACCAAATTCAAGACTGGTTATCTTTCAGTGGGGAGGGGTAAGTCAGGAGTCCAATTCAAGTAAATCCTTATGCTACATCCAACATTGTGTTAAGAATTGTGAGGTATTGGGGATCCCTGGGTGGCGCAGCGGTTTGGCGCCTGCCTTTGGCCCAGGGCGCGATCCTGGAGACCCGGGATCGAGTCCCACATCGGGCTTCCGGTGCATGGAGCCTGCTTCTCCCTCTGCCTGTGTCTCTGCCTCTCTCTCTCTCTCTCTGTGACTATCATAAATAAATAAAAATTAAAAAAAATTTAAAAAAAAAAAAAAAAAGAATTGTGAGGTATTTTAAAATATGAATAATTGTCCTTGGTCTTGATGAACTTGCATTAAGTCAAAGTCCCTAGAGTTAGGTAACATCCTAAAAAAATGCTTCTCCTTGAGCACAAACACCCGGGAAACTTGTCCCCATCACTGGTATGCTGCATAAGTTTGATTAATATGTAAGCACAGTTTATATTACCACTGAGTGTACATCTACTTTTTATGTGAATCTTGTGTCTGAGTGGTCACATGGGGTGACAGCATAAGTTGATGCACAACAGAAGTGAGAGGGGTGATGGGAAGTGACATCATTTCACTGGAGGAACAATTACACTGTAAATATAAGGAGCTTTTAAAGAAACATGTTATGTATTTTGGATATTCCAGCACAAAATATAGTACTTGAATGTGTGCTGTGGGAAAAAATAGCCAATCTATCTGAATATGGAGTGACCTATAAACAAAATTTCATGTACTCCAAACGGAGCTATGGTTTATGGAGAAAGTACATACTTTCCTAGAGCTTCTGAACAGAAACAACCCATAGCTGAGCACTGCAGCCTTATATGACATGAACAATGCCCTGCAGAACAGCTGGTCAGAATTACAGATGACTAAGAATCCTGTGATATCTCTGAACAACTACATTTAACATGTTGAATCTGATTCCTAAATCTTTTATCTGAGTGAGCAGTGGGGTTGAGAATTTGAATGATCATGGTTGAAAATTTGTGCAGCTCTTACAGGACTCCATAAATGGAAACATCTTTCCATTTTTGACCCAAACTCTGGAATTTACTTTGACTAAACATCTTCTCCAGCCCTCCATCATCCACCTTGACAACTCCAGAGTATCTCACCTCGTTGCACGTTATGCACATTATGGTAGTAGGTATTCAATAACTATTTTTCTTTTTTCAGGGAAGGGATGAATGAATTAAGCCCTATCTTGCTGTTCCTGGCTAATATCCTGTTGGCCTCCCTCACTTCTTCTTCCAAGTTTATACTTCTCAAACTGAATTTGGATTGTGTGTTGAGAAAAATTCCCATCACAGCTAGAAGTTGTCCTCTCCACAATTGCTGCTGATAAGAAGCTCTCAGTCCCTATGATGAGAACAACAGCTGTGTAGAGGCCTGGCTCACAAGATGCCTGTTTAAAGTTTCTTACAAGAGTATATACAACTCCAGGATGGTGGGGTATCATGAGAATAGATTAGTGAATAGGTTAGTAAACAGCATAAATCATCCTTTATCCTCTCAGTTTCTAGCACTTCTACAAACTAAAAAAGTTTTTTTCCTAGTATTACATACACTTATCCACAAGAGCCCTGTGTTTCATGTTTTGGGGGCCACAATCTTAACTACTCAAGGGATAGCTAGCTGATGGACCATGAACCAGCAACATCATCTGGGAACCTATTAGAAATGCAGAATTCCTGGGTTCCTCCTCAAGTCAATTGAGTCAGAAGCTACATGTTAACATCTCCAGGTGATTCATATGCACGTCTAAGTTCAAGAAGTACTGGCTTAGAACTCACTTGCTTGAAGCTCTGCAAACCAGTAGATGCATTTTGCAGACTTGCAGCTCAGCTGGGTATCATATATGCCATCTACCACATAGCATGCCTTATGCCAGAGATGGAGAATATAAAGATAAATAAAAGGCAACATATGCCTTGAGCCCATGGTATGCTAGCTGGAAAGACTGGCCCAGAAAAAAATCATTTCAATGTAATGTAGTCATGCTAATGTGAAGGTGTGTAGAGAGCACTGTGATATGGAGGATTCTTTAAACCAGACTGGGAACCCAGAGAAGGTTACTTCAAGAAGTTCTTTGATCTGAATGAGAATAATTACATACAGTTTAGTCAAGCAAAAACTAGGTAAGTAATCCAGCAAAAAGCAATGGTCTCTCCCAACCCTTTGTTCTTAAAATAGGTTTTTGTTTAAACCATAAACTCCATTGTCTTCATGGGGGAAGGAATTGACTGTATGGATTTGGTATTGCTAACCTGAGTCTAGGAGTGATGGGAGATGGGTGTAGAGAAGCTGGTACAGGCCAACCAGAGAGGAGCTTGTATGCCATGTTAGAGTTTAGATTCTACTCAGAGGCACCTGAGAAGGAGTGTAGTTAGACTTTATTCCAGCTGGCAACAGCTGCAGAGGGAGGAAGTGATTAAAAGGAAATAGAACCAGTCACAGGATAATCAGTTTTCTAGGGAAAATGGACCAGGGTGCTCAGGCTAGAGATGTGTGGACATAAAATGGAATTATCTAAAAGGTACAATGGGGATGCCTGGGTGGCTCAGTGGTTGAGTGTCTGCCTTTAGCTTAGGTCATGATCCTGGCGTCCTGGGATTGAGTCCCACATCAGGCTCCCTGCAGGGAGCTTGCTTCTCCCTCTGCCTATGTCTCTGCCTCTCTCTCCATGTCTCTCATGAATAAGTAAATAAAATCTTAAAAAAAAAAAAAGGTACAATGACTGGGACATGAAAATCCATTAGTTCAGACAAGGGAGAGAACTGGATATCTAAGCCATTGGTTCTCAAATTTGAGTATGCATAAGAATCCCCTGAAGGACTCCACCCCCAGAGTTTCTCTTTCAGCAGCCCTGGACTGAGGCCCAAGAATGTGCATTTCTTTTTTTTTTATTTTAAAATTTTTAACTCAATTTGCCAACATATAGTATAACATCCAGTGCTCATTCCATCAAGTGCCCTCCTCAGTGCCCGTCATCCAGTTACCCTTTCCCCCCACCCACCTCCCCTTCTGCAACCCTTTGTTTCCCAGAGTTAGGAATCTCTCATGGTTTGTCTCCCTCTCTAATTTTTCCCACTCAGTTCTCCTCCTTTCCCTTATAATCCCTTTCATTATTTCTTATATTCCCCTTATGAGTGAAGGAGAATGTGCATTTCTAACAAGTTTTCAGCTGGTCTTGACACTGTTCATCCTGGGGCCACACTTCAGGAACCACCGCTATAGTGTAGTTCAACGGTTCTCTCTTTTTTTTTCTTCCAAATTTTTATTTAAATCCTACTCAGTTAATAGAAAGTGTAAAATTGGTTTAAGGGATAGAATTTAGCGATTCATCACTTACGTATAACACCCAATGTTCATCACAACAAATGCCCTCTTTAATACTCATCTTCCATCTAGCCTACCTCCACCCACCTCATTCATCGACTTTCAGTTTGTTCTCTATTCTTAAGGGTCTCTTATGGTTTGCCTCCCTCCTCTCCTTCTCTCTTTTTTTTTTCCCTTCCCACATGTTCATCTGTTTTGTTTCCTAAATTCCACACATAAGTGAAAACATATAGTATTTGTCTTTCACTTACTGACTTATTTCACTTAGCATAATACCTTCTAGTTCTATCCGTGTTGTTGCAAGGGCAAGATTTCATTCTTTTTGATGGCTAAGTAATATTCCATTGTGTATATATGGCACATCATCTTTATCCATTCATCAGTTGATGGACATTTGGGCTCTTTCCAAAATCTGGCTATTTTTTATAATGATGCTATAAACATCAAGGTGCATGTTCCCCTCTGAATCTGTGTTTTTGTATCCTTTGAGTAAATATCTGGTAGCACAATTGCTGAGTTGTAGGATTATTCTATTTTTAGCTTTTTGAGGAGCCTCCATACTGTTTTGCAGAGTGGCTGCACGAATTTCCATTCCCACCAACAGTGTGGGAGGGTTCCCCTTTCTCCACATCCTCACCAACACCTGTTGTTTCCTGTGTTGTTAATTTAAGCCATTCTGA